CCCGGACGAGCGCGCGTAGTGCGCCCACTCATCAAGCCGCGGGAGGGCTCGAACGCTGCGAACACACGTGGGAGTCACGGCCCGAGGCAGGGTCTGCGGTAATCATCAGCTCGCACGGAGTATCTTTCTGCTAACATTGAACACAGAGCCGCGCACTAGGCTGCCGAGTGAAGAGTGTGAAGCTTATTCTATTCCACTGGTAGCGTCGAAATAGGGACTGAGCTAAATGCCCCTCGAATCTAATCACTGCGTGGCAAGCGTGTCTATCAGCGGTTATTGCTCCGCAGGAGCGCTATCCCCAACATATATCCGAGGTCGCCATGGCCAGCGACTATCCCTGTAAGACTCGCCAGACCGAACGACCAACCCCTTCGACAATGGCAAATTTACACTTGGGAGCCGATGCAGCTCTGAACGGAGCAGGGTAAGACTCACAGCTGCTTCTGCATTGCTACAGTTTCACTTACGGTCAGCTTTCGCGGTCGCAAGGTTCTACTGCATGCCCGAACCCCAGCATTGTCCCTCTTCCGCATATCCTCCGATTCGACCTATGGTTTCGAGTGTGCTCAACGGTAAGCGCAAACGGGTCGTCGCCACCTGCCGCTTCACTAGCTGATGCGGAGCAGAATGTATAATCGCGGACCGCGGCCGGCTCCAGCTGCCGACACTCGCCGCGCCCTTGACAGCTGGCACGCCCCCGACAATCACCGCACCCCTGATAATCACCATGCCTCAGACAGCTGAAGAACCGGGCTGCCTCGTAGCAATCAAGAAGTGGCTCCGCTGCTGCTGTCGTGCGGATTAGAGCTGGTCCTTTCTTCCGGAAAGCTCGATGCAGAACCCAAATAATTGAAAATGTAGCTGGGTCCTGTATCGCGCCTCCGTTAGGAAGGTATCATATGTACAACGAGGGCAATTACTATGGCTCGTTGATCGAGAATTGGTCGGGTACGAACGAGCCGTCACACTCAGATGCTATTTTTTGTTATTGATATTACCTTTGCGGATGGGGATCAGAGGCTGGGCCGGTTGCCTGTAGCCTAAATTTGAGCGACACAGGTCTCTCGCGAGGACCATGGGTGCTTCATGGGCGACCGCTGATCAGGATAATTCATAAACCCCAAAGGTACGCGCGCTGGGGTCTTCAAAGCTCGTAGAGGGTGCTGACTGGACGGCGGGGTTCCGGAGTCGTCTGTGATGCTGTGCTTGGGCTAGTCAATACCTCCGTCTCCACCCTCTACACTGACACCGGGGCGCGTAGGCATGTCGGCGGTGTATCGAATGCGCTGACAAATATTATTGCATTTGTACTCCGCAAATTGCTCCGGACAGGCTGTGAGAAGGTGAAGGTTGGCACACACGTGTATCAGACAGTCGGAGTCACCCTCGCATCGCTCTTTTCAGGTTCGCGGTCTAGCTGTTCGCGATTCGACTGCGTCTGATCTAATAATGCTGTGAGCGGCATGTGGAAACACATGGTGCTTCAGAATCCTAGTATCACCGCCCCCGGCCAGCCCGCATCATGTGCTCAGCAGTTGTTCCCCGCGCCGACGCTGCGCCAGGAGCACACTGCAAACCAGAACCAGTTTCCTGCCTGTTGCCGTCAGCCGCAGCAAGCCGTCTTTCTTACCGTTCTCCCGTACTGTCATTACGTACCGATAAGCGTGTGATTCCCTGTCGACAGTTCACCTAGAAGCTGACGGACCATGGACGGCGGGCCCAGCGAGCGTGGGGAGTATCACGCATCACCTATCTATCACTATGGAACATTCCAGGGCCAAGCTTCTAAAGTTCGGGCTGCGGTGGCGATCTACCCATTGACTCTGAGCGCCATCCGCAAGAAAGTTCGGGGCATTCCTTCCGAGGAAGCGAGGAGATTTTGCTGCAGTGCGTTTTGTTGAGAAGACACTGGGAGAAAAAGTACCCAAAGCCGCCCATTTTGCACGGACACCACATATTTGCGGTTGGGCGAGCAAACGAGCTCATGCAGCGGTGACTTCCCCCCTTTACTATCCGCAGAGCGACCCGTCGTAAGATCTTCCCTGGCCTGGAACACTGCGCCGTTACTGACTCTTTTGCTCAAATCCTGCAGTGGTGCTGCCAACTACACTACTCTGACGGCCTGGTATAGTCAATACCCACCACTCAACGAAGGCGACAATTTTGATGCCCAGTATCCTGCCTTAGCTTCGCATGATGGTACGTCCGCATTGCCCGCCCATTTCCAGACGGACAGTCGTAAGATTGACCTTTATCTAGGCCAGTCCTGTGACCGCGCAATAAAAAATCAGACGACAACTATTAATCACCCTGCTGTTCCCCGTCCCGTGGAACAGCAGCGGTTCGAGGACCCGCCAACCTCTGGATGCCAATGCTGCTCTGGGGGGTGTATTGTTATGTGAATCCCAGGACCTGAACTTGAGCTTGAAGGCCAGCGACAGTCTATTTGAGGCGCTATAATCTTTTCTGTACCATGTATCCGGACCCTTCGAGGAATTAAATGTCGCTCTGCATGCGCCGGACACACACTTTGAATCGCGAGCCCCGCGCGCCGGTATCCCATGTATAGTCATTCGGATCAAATAGCGAACGCCGACCGCCACCATGCTGTTGCCTGACGCTCTACGCTTTCGGGTTCCGCATTGTCGAGATTCGCTTCTCCTAAGGCACGCAATCGCTTCCTCACAGATAATATAGTGCGCTAAAGGCAGGAAGATAGATAAGAGATGTTACGCAGCTGCATATGCGCTCGAACAACAATCTGAACTTCTTTGTCGTCTGTCCCGCCCACCAGAGCTCCGACTCCTGGAAGCGTTCTGAGGTGAAATACGTCTCTGGGGAAAAGGATCAGTTGTACATTGCTCGACTTTATTCGCGCTCAAACATATTCAACGGCTTCGGAGCTTATTCCTCCATCCTGTCTCTGCCTTGGGGGGGGGGGGGCGATACCTGGCTGTAAGTTTCTTCAACGCCCGCTGGTCATGGACTGATTCGTCTGCCGTGGTAGGAGGCTCTTTTGTGATAAAAAGATGCGGTGTAAGCCATTTCAAATGCTGTAAATACCTTGCCAACCGTCTCTGAGCCATTCGACGTCGTCGCCGTAGCGCACTGGCTGACTTGAGAAGTCCTTGTTCTCAGCTTAGCGACTTGTTTTGTTGTTACAAGCGGCAAGGCGGGGCGAGGGCATGAAGTGGCGGAGCGGCAGAGCATGGGTGTTGAAAGACAAGGTTGCCTTGCGTGCTGAACAATAGTCCGTCAGTGCCTGGAGATTATTCTCACGATCTCTGCAGCTGAGTGTGAAGTACATCAAAACGTTTGGGGGAAGCGACGATCCTGATCACGTCTACCTCTTCTCTCCCCCCGCAACTCCTCCTTGGCGGAGGTACCTCAGGTCGCTTCATACCTCGCCGCGGCGATGTCCATGGACGAGAGGGACCGTCCTGAGGTGATATTTTGCCCACATCGCCGCAGCCGCCGGCACTGTCCTAGCTGTCCACCGAAGATAAACTCCGCTCGTCTGGACTGTGCACGCAACACGCACTTGGATTTATCATCGTGAAAGCCGGAGCGCTGCCCCTTGAATGACGAGGGACCTATTCCCTGCTGTTAGTTGGTGACTCAGAACATTCTATTGGCTGTGTACGCTGACATCTTCGAACGCGCCTCTCAGAAAACACTACTTGCTCAAATTGCCTAGGAGGCCCAGCTCTGCAGTCGATGATACACTTGAACACCCACGGCCCATATCAGTAACCCAAGGTCCAGGTCCACCGCAGCACCGCCGCCACCGTCGCCGATGTTGTATCTGACGATGAAGATGACACTCACCCTCTCCGTATCAAACTGTGGCCATGGATGCTGAGGTGGAGCCTTCCAATGCTGCGGTAGCATTTTGCCAGTGGTACATTCATCGTCTCAATGTTGTGTTCGACGGAGAAGCTCAGGTGCCAAGGCTGCGCTGCGACGACACGGACATAAGATCATAAGTCGTAGTCGCCGCCTTCACCATCCCTTCCACAAACTTGCATATTCAATGTACATATCCTCTGTCGTTTCTGCGGCAGCCTATTTTCTCTACCGAATCTCTCACATTCTTTGCCCTCCGTGACAGGAACTAAAGGCGTGCATTTACCATGGCATCACTCTTGTTGGAGCCGGGTATGGGCCAGTTTGCACTGCCCTGGCTGCCGCAAGCTCACTAATGATACCCTGCTGCTCCACAGTCGCTAAACTGGACACCACACGCGGCACTCGCGTTCCTGGACTTCTGGGCTGAGCGGCAGCGCTTGTCACAACTCAATTGCCTCGGCACGCAGTCCAGCTCTGCGGAGTAATCTTGCAGCGGCCAAGCCTCCTCAAGTATGAAAGCGGTGGTGCAGCGCGCGGGCTCTGTATAAGCTATACGCTAACCATACCTGGAACCAGAGAAGTTCCTCCATCTCCTTCTGAACTTCTGCCGGCGGTGAGTTCAGGTCGTCGCCTTTCTGATCCCTAAGAATTCAAGATCCTTGTCTTGATACAGCTGTGCCAAGCTGTGAGGCCCTTGTCGTGGCGCAGCAGGGGCTTGGATGCACAGCGGCCCTTGCAGTGCCGTGTTCACCACTTTTGGACGCGTTTTGTTGTGCGTATTGTAGATACAGGCGGCGAAAGGGCGCTGTACATGTGTTATTCCGCCCTGCAAAGGCGCTAATCCGACTTCTTCGCTTACGGGATGCTGTGTGAAATTGAGGGCTCTTGCAGGTCCAGACCCTTGGTTCGTATGCTGAGTTTGATATTGGAGCGATAATTGCCACCGAAGCTCGGTGGGTTACACTAGTTTGGTTGTGGGCTTACAGACACAAACA